GATGTGATTTAATACACCCTGTAAGTGTTGAGTTTACAGTTTACAGATGTGATTTCATACATCCTGTAAGTGTAGAGTTTATAGTTTACAGATGTGATTTAATACATCCTGTAAGTGTTGAGTTTATAGTTTACAGATGTGATTTAATACACCCTGTAATACATCATGTAAGTGTTGGGTTTACCGTTGATATATTTGATTTAATACACCCTGTAATACATCCTGTAAGTGTTGAGTTTACAGTTTACAGATGTGATTTAATACATCCTGTAATACATCCTGTAAGTGTTGAGTTTACAGTTTACAGATGTGATTTAATACATCCTGTAATACATCCTGTAAGTGTTGAGTTTACAGTTTACAGATGTGATTTAATACATCCTGTAATACATCCTGTAAGTGTTGAGTTTACCGTTGATATATTTGATTTAATACACCCTGTAATACATCCTGTAAGTGTTGAGTTTACCGTTGATATATTTGATTTAATACACCCTGTAATACATCTTGTAAGTGTTGAGTTTATAGTTTACAGATGTGATTTAATACACCCTGTAATACATCCTGTAGGTGTTGAGTTTACCGTTTACAGATGTGATTTAATACACCCTGTAATACATCCTGTAAGTGTTGAGTTTACAGTTTACAGATGTGATTTAATACATCCTGTAATACATCCTGTAAATGTTGAGTTTACCGTTGATATATTTGATTTAATACACCCTGTAATACATCCTGTAAGTGTTGAGTTTACAGATGTGATTTAATACATCCTGTAAGTGTTGAGTTTACAGTTATATATTTGGATTTAATACATCCTGTAATACATCCTGTAAGTGTTGAGTTTACCGTTGATATATTTGATTTAATACACCCTGTAATACATCCTGTAAGTGTTGAGTTTACAGTTTACAGATGTGATTTAATACACCCTGTAATACATCCTGTAAGTGTTGGGTTTACCATTGATATATTTGATTTAATACACCCTGTAATACATCCTGTAAGTGTTGGGTTTACCGTTGATATATTTGATTTAATACATCCTGTAATACATCCTGTAAGTGTTGAGTTTACAGTTTACAGATGTGATTTAATACATCCTGTAATACATCCTGTAAGTGTTGAGTTTACAGTTTACAGATGTAATTTAATACATCCTGTAAGTGTTGAGTTTACAGTTTACAGATGTGATTTAATACACCCTGTAATACATCCTGTAAGTGTTGAGTTTACCGTTGATATATTTGATTTAATACACCCTGTAATACATCCTGTAAGTGTTGAGTTTACAGTTTACAGATGTGATTTAATACATCCTGTAATACATCCTGTAAGTGTTGAGTTTACAGTTTACAGATGTAATTTAATACATCCTGTAAGTGTTGAGTTTACAGTTTACAGATGTGATTTAATACACCCTGTAATACATTCTGTAAGTGTTGAGTTTACCGTTGATATATTTGATTTAATACACCCTGTAATATATCCTGTAAGTGTTGAGTTTACAGTTTACAGATGTGATTTAATACATCCTGTAAGTGTTGAGTTTACAGTTTACAGATGTGATTTAATACACCCTGTAATACATCCTGTAAGTGTTGAGTTTACAGTTTACAGATGTGATTTAATACACCCTGTAATACATCCTGTAAGTGTTGAGTTTACAGTTTACAGATGTGATTTAATACATCCTGTAATACCTCCTGTAAGTGTTGAGTTTACAGTTTACAGATGTGATTTAATACATCCTGTAAGTGTTGAGTTTACCGTTGATATATTTGGATTTAATACACCCTGTAATACATCCTGTAAGTATTGAGTTTACCGTTGATATATTTGATTTAATACACCCTGTAATACATCCTGTAAGTGTTGTGTTTACAGTTTACTGATGTGATTTAATACACCCTGTAATACATCCTGTAAGTGTTGGGTTTACCGTTGATATATTTGATTTAATACACCCTGTAATACATCCTGTAAGTGTTGAGTTTACCGTTGATATATTTGATTTAATACACCCTGTAATACATCCTGTAAGTGTTGAGTTTACAGTTTACAGATGTGATTTAATACACCCTGTAATACATCCTGTAAGTGTTGAGTTTACCGTTGATATATTTGATTTAATACACCCTGTAATACATCCTGTAAGTGTTGGGTTTACAGTTTACAGATGTGATTTAATACACCCTGTAATACATCCTGTAAGTGTTGGGTTTACCGTTGATATATTTGATTTAATACACCCTGTAATACATCCTGTAAGTGTTGGGTTTACCGTTGATATATTTGATTTAATACACCCTGTAATACATCCTGTAAGTGTTGAGTTTACAGTTTACAGATGTGATTTAATACACCCTGTAATACATCCTGTAAGTGTTGGGTTTACCGTTGATATATTTGATTTAATACACCCTGTAATACATCCTGTAAGTGTTGAGTTTACAGTTTACAGATGTGATTTAATACATCCTGTAATACATCCTGTAAGTGTTGAGTTTACAGTTTACAGATGTAATTTAATACCTCCTGTAAGTGTTGAGTTTACAGTTTACAGATGTGATTTAATACATCCTATAATACATCCTGTAAGTGTTGAGTTTACCGTTGATATATTTGATTTAATACACCCTGTAATACATCCTGTAAGTGTTGAGTTTACATTTTACAGATGTGATTTAATACATCCTGTAAGTGTTGAGTTTACAGTTTACAGATGTGATTTAATATATCCTGTAAGTGTTGAGTTTACAGTTTACAGATGTGATTTAATACACCCTGTAATACATCCTGTAAGTGTTGAGTTTACAGTTTACAGATGTGATTTAATACACCCTGTAATACATCCTGTAAGTGTTGAGTTTACAGTTTACAGATGTGATTTAATACATCCTGTAAGTGTTGAGTTTACAGTTTACAGATGTGATTAATAATACATCCTGTAAGTGTTGAGTTTACCGTTGATATATTTGATTTAATACACCCTGTAATACATCCTGTAAGTGTTGAGTTTACAGTTGATATATTTGATTTAATACACCCTGTAATACATCCTGTAAGTGTTGGGTTTACCGTTGATATATTTGATTTAATACACCCTGTAATACATCCTGTAAGTGTTGGGTTTACAGTTTACAGATGTGATTTAATACACCCTGTAATACATCCTGTAAGTGTTGGGTTTACCGTTGATATATTTGATTTAATACACCCTGTAATACATCCTGTAAGTGTTGGGTTTACCGTTGATATATTTGATTTAATACACCCTGTAATACATCCTGTAAGTGTTGAGTTTACAGTTTACAGATGTGATTTAATACATCCTGTAATACATCGTGTAAGTGTTGAGTTTACAGTTTACAGATGTGATTTAATACATCCTGTAATACATCCTGTAAGTGTTGAGTTTACAGTTTACAGATGTAATTTAATACATCCTGTAAGTGTTGAGTTTACAGTTTACAGATGTGATTTAATACATCCTGTAATACATCCTGTAAGTGTTGAGTTTACCGTTGATATATTTGATTTAATACACCCTGTAATACATCCTGTAAGTGTTGGGTTCACAGTTTACAGATGTGATTTAATACATCCTGTAATACATCCTGTACGTGTTGAGTTTACAGATGTGATTTAATACACCCTGTAATACATCCTGTAAGTGTTGAGTTTACCGTTGATATATTTGATTTAATACACCCTGTAATACATCCTGTAAGTGTTGAGTTTACAGTTTACAGATGTGATTTAATACACCCTGTAATACATCCTGTAAGTGTTGAGTTTACCGTTGATATATTTGATTTAATACACCCTGTAATACATCCTGTAAGTGTTGAGTTTACCGTTGATATATTTGATTTAATACACCCTGTAATACATCCTGTAAGTGTTGAGTTTACAGTTTACAGATGTGATTTAATTGTAATACATCCTGTAAGTGTTGAGTTTACCGTTGATATATTTGATTTAATACACCCTGTAATACATCCTGTAAGTGTTGAGTTTACAGTTTACAGATGTGATTTAATACACCCTGTAATACATCCTTTAAGTGTTGGGTTCACAGTTTACAGATGTGATTTAATACATCCTGTAATACATCCTGTACGTGTTGAGTTTACAGATGTGATTTAATACACCCTGTAATACATCCTGTAAGTGTTGAGTTTACCGTTGATATATTTGATTTAATACACCCTGTAATACATCCTGTAAGTGTTGAGTTTACAGTCTACAGATGTGATTTAATACACCCTGTAATACATCCTGTAAGTGTTGGGTTTACCGTTGATATATTTGATTTAATACACCCTGTAATACATCCTGTAATATATTACAGATGTGATTTAATACACCCTGTAATACATCCTGTAAGTGTTGGGTTTACCGTTGATATATTTGATTTAATACACCCTGTAATACATCCTGTAAGTGTTGAGTTTACAGTTTACAGATGTGATTTAATACACCCTGTAATACATCCAGTAAGTGTTGAGTTTACAGTTTACAGATGTGATTTAATACACCCTGTAATACATCCTGTAAGTGTTGAGTTTACAGTTTACAGATGTGATTTAATACACCCTGTAATACATCCTGTAAGTGTTGAGTTTACAGTTTACAGATGTGATTTAATACATCCTGTATGTTAACGTGGAACGAGCGTCGGTCAGCGATCCGGGGAATGAACACCGAAAAGATTGATTGCAATGACAAATGTTTATTTACAATGATGACAATAAAGAGATTAAATAAAAAAAACCTATAATACCCACACGTCACACTCACTAATTCACTCATTCACAAACACAATTATTACAAGTTACAGTCTGTAGCTACACACACAACGACGAATGGGATCCTGGTACAGTTCCGGTGCAAGACGGTAGCTAACCTGCAACCACGCTCAATCCAGAGCCAAGAGGTATAAACACATCAAGCAGCACCATGCTTGCTTGAAACGCCCAAATTGGCAAACTCACTGGTGTCCAAGACACAACAGGAAAGCTGGGATGTACACACTAGTGTCCTTGACACGACAGCCATCCCAATAGTAGATATACTGTGACTCAGCCTCCAAGCAAGTCGCTGACCCTGGCCTACGTAACGACCCAACACATGTATTCCATGCTGACCTTGACCCTGGTGAAGAGAACTCATCCGGTCGGTCCTGACACTGGAGTCGCAATGAGTTGGCACAGCTGACTGGTCCTGGTTTGATAGCTGAGACTCCTAGTCCGTCATGTGAAGCTACAATAATACATAGTTGAAAATAATGCTGTAGTCACACAGATTCACTCTTACCTGGCATACTAATTAACTAATAATTAATTATCAATAATATAAATATTCATTAATATATTGTAAATATACGTAAATCAATATAATAAAGATAAAGGGATAAGTGTGCGGCTCCAAATGGCTATAAAAACACGACTCAGCACAATTCATAGAAGTTGGCGTCTCACGGCTTCCATATTTTTTTACCCAGTGCGCGTACACACTCCAACTAACGCTATAGCTCTAGCTCAGGGCTTCCATAGAATTTTAAAACGGACAAGAACCCTATATGTATTAAATAATTCTACACACAACAATCTATTATGTTTATATTATCTAAATACACCAGAAATCAATAGGAAGTATGAAATTATAATGATATAGCAGAAACACACCACAAAACAAGTGTACTACATGTATCAACAATAGTTACGCATGATTGGAGCGCACCGACACCTCGATTGCTTGACCCGATAGATTTGACGGCATGGATAAAATAATGCCAGAAAAAAAACATATGGAAACGGAAGAAAGAAACATTACTTACCACAGTCTGTCGTCTGTGCCTTGTTCACAATATCGGAAACAGCTATATTTACATATCGGCTACACGAACTCACAAAACTGTGGACCTTAAACAAGTGTCCATTCCGTGCACAACCGGTCAAGCCCGTGACGTATATCCGCCCAGTGGTGCGGACAATTAAGAGTCCTTACACAGCAAAACAAACTCAAATTAAAACTTACCATTTATAGGCAAACTATACATGCTTACGTGACACTGTAAGTGTTGAGTTTAAAGTTTACAGATGTGATTTAATACATCCTGTAATACATCCTGTAAGTGTTGAGTTTACAGTTTACAGATGTGATTTAATACACCCTGTAATACATCCTGTAAGTGTTGAGTTTACAGTTTACAGATGTGATTTAATACATCCTGTAATACATCCTGTAAGTGTTGAGTTTACAGATGTGATTTAATACATCATGTAAGTGTTGAGTTTACAGTTTACAGATGTGATTTAATACATCCTGTAATACATCCTGTAAGTGTTGAGTTTACAGTTTACAGATGTGATTTAATACATCCTGTAAGTGTTGAGTTTACAGTTTACAGATGTGATTTAATACATCCTGTAAGTGTTGAGTTTACAGTTTACAGATGTGATTTAATACATCCTGTAAGTGTTGAGTTTACAGTTTACAGATGTGATTTAATACACCCTGTAATACATCCTGTAAGTGTTGAGTTTACAGTTTACAGATGTGATTTAATACATCCTGTAATACATCCTGTAAGTGTTGAGTTTACAGATGTGATTTAATACATCATGTAAGTGTTGAGTTTACAGATGTGATTTAATACATCATGTAAGTGTTGAGTTTACAGTTTACAGATGTGATTTAATACATCCTGTAATACATCCTGTAAGTGTTGAGTTTACAGTTTACAGATGTGATTTAATACATCCTGTAAGTGTTGAGTTTACAGTTTACAGATGTGATTTAATACATCCTGTAAGTGTTGAGTTTACAGTTTACAGATGTGATTTAATACATCTTGTAAGTGTTGAGTTTACAGTTTACAGATGTGATTTAATACATCCTGTAAGTGTTGAGTTTACAGTTTACAGATGTGATTTAATACACCCTGTAATACATCCTGTAAGTGTTGAGTTTACAGTTTACAGATGTGATTTAATACATCCTGTAATACATCCTGTAAGTGTTGAGTTTACAGATGTGATTTAATACATCATGTAAGTGTTGAGTTTACAGTTTACAGATGTGATTTAATACATCCTGTAAGTGTAGAGTTTACAGTTATATATTTGGATTTAATACACCCTGTAATACATCCTGTAAGTGTTGAGTTTACCGTTGATATATTTGATTTAATACACCCTGTAATGCATCCTGTAAGTGTTGAGTTTACAGTTTACAGATGTGATTTAATACACCCTGTAATACATCCTGTAAGTGTTGAGTTTACAGTTTACAGATGTGATTTAATACACCCTGTAATACATCATGTAAGTGTTGGGTTTACCGTTGATATATTTGATTTAATACATCCTGTAATACATCCTGTAAGTGTTGAGTTTACAGTTTACAGATGTGATTTAATACATCCTGTAATACATCCTGTAAGTGTTGAGTTTACAGTTTACAGATGTGATTTAATACATCCTGTAATACATCCTGTAAGTGTTGAGTTTACAGTTTACAGATGTGATTTAATACACCCTGTAAGTGTTGAGTTTACAGTTTACAGATGTGATTTAATACATCCTGTAAGTGTTGAGTTTACAGTTTACAGATGTGATTTAATACATCCTGTAATATATCCTGTAAGTGTTGAGTTTACAGTTTACAGATGTGATTTAATACATCCTGTAAGTGTTGAGTTTACAGTTTACAGATGTGATTTAATACATCCTGTAAGTGTTGAGTTTACAGTTTGATTTAATACATCCTGTAAGTGTTGAGTTTACAGTTTACAGATGTGATTTAATACATCCTGTAAGTGTTGAGTTTACAGTTTACAGATGTGATTTAATACATCCTGTAAGTATTGAGTTTACCGTTGATATATTTGATTTAATACACCCTGTAATACATCCTGTAAGTGTTGGGTTTACCGTTGATATATTTGATTTAATACACCCTGTAATACATCCTGTAAGTGTTGGGTTTACCGTTGATATATTTGATTTAATACATCCTGTAAGTGTTCAATTTACAGTAAATATATTTGACTTAATGCATCCTGTCAGCGGTCAATTTACAGTAAATATATTTGACTTAATGCATCCTGTCAGCGTTCAATTTACAGTAAATATATCTGACTTACTGCATCCTGTAAGTGTTCAATTTACAGTAAATATATTTGACTTAATGCATCCTGTCAGCGTTCAATTTACAGTAAATATATTTGACTTAATGCATCCTGTCAGCGTTCAATTTACAGTAAATATATTTGACTTAATGCATCCTGTCAGCGGTCAATTTACAGTAAATATATTTGACTTAATGCATCCTGTCAGCGTTCAATTTACAGTAAATATATTTGACTTAATGCATCCTGTCAGCGTTCAATTTACAGTAAATATATTTGACTTAATGCATCCTTTCTGTGATGTTACATGTTAAGGATACTGATGTTATCTTCATGGAAAATTGATGGTGATGTTATATATGCTGTTGTAAAATGGTTTATCTAAGAAAAGAATTGTCGAACACACCAAATTTTCAATTCACTATTTTGACCGGGAGTTATGAATATATATAAACCGATGTTCAAATGTTATTGTTTCTGGACATTGCATGCCAAAGAGTTTAGCCCAAATCGACCATTAAAAGATTACACACAACGTAACGAAAAAGGAATAACATAAAGCAAAAGGAACGAATTCAAACTGTTAGTGTTGTAACATTTATTGTATTTGAAATACCGAAAAACTCGTTTTTATGTTTTATTGTATTTCAGTTGTTGCAATCAAATTTGCTTGTATCACATCAATATAGAGATAGACGATATAGGTCATGAATTAAATAAATTTTTTTCCGGCTATCGTATAATTTCTGACTGTTTCAGATCTTATAAAATATTGATTCTGTACTCAATAAATGATTAATTCAATACACTATGAACGAAGGTAACTTTAACTTATCAACGATTTTAAACGTCTGTAAATGTGTATCAGCGTGACTAGTGAGATAGTGTCTTAGTAGTTAAATCAAAAGAGTATCGTTATCTCCAAAGTAACACTCTGACGTCACATGTCACGTGACCTCGTTTTTCATTAAAATATTCATATTCACCAAACTAAGATAAAAGAGGACAGGCCAGCTTTCGCAGTTGTAAATCATTGCATCGTGGCTAAAACTCTGGAATATCTCTAACAGTAAATTCGAAAGAGCTACATCTCCTCTGTCCTAAGTTGTTAACTACGTACTTACCTAAAATTATGTGATAATTATTATTGCTAAAGTATGTAATCAGATGAGCATACAAATGTGCATTATTATAAAAGCCATTTTTTCCGGACAAGTTAAGTTTTGGGGTGAAATAACTTTGGGGCAATATGTAAATTTTGGGCCGAAATAGTTTTAAAAATTGGGGCGTAATGAATAAAAGTTGGGATGAAATGTTGTTTCTTTATTGGTAGGGAAGGCAACATTGCTGTCTACGTTTCGTACGAAGTTTTTGACACCGAAAACTAGAAGTCTCCTCCCGTTGAACTGCAGTTGGTTACACCTTTCTAACCGTCCGGAATAGATATATTTTATCCCGCAGCTGCCGCGGTCATCGTTGGAATACACCTGCCACATCCACAGTGTCTGAACGGAAGTGTACGCGTAAACGTAGTCAATGTTTTACGAAGCGAGACTAGGTCGCTTTAAACTAATGGAGAAATATTCGTCTATATATCAAATCTTAAGTATGTAATACGCAAATGATGTGTACGTTCACTCATTGAAGAATCTAAATGTAAGAGAAAATCGTTGTCAAACACTTTGAATCGACAAAAAGGGCGAGTTGGTTAACTTTTGTTTCTCGAAAAAGCATAGTTTGTTTCAGTATATCTGCTAGATTACCACTAAAAAGTGACATTTTCATTCACACTGTTTAAATTGGAAACTGTACCGGTAGTATATTTCAATTATTTGTTTTCTGTACGGGTAGCAACGTTTTTTTCGTTCACTTGGTCCCCTGATTGTCGATTCTTTCAAAGTTTTAATTTCACCGTAAGGACCTGCACGATGTGAAAAATATTGTAACCATCTTTCGAAATAGATCTATATCGCCCATTGACTGATTTTGGACCCCGGCATTGATTTTCTTTCCGTCGACGCACAGTTTATATGTTTGTCTTTGGGCAACATCATCAGCATTAACCAAGTCTATCATTTCCTGTATGATTCTTGGTTTAATATTCTTGAGCACTTCCGGTGTGTTTTTGTCATCGATTTGATTTCTGTGAGGAACTGCAAAGTTTACATTTGATGCCTGTGGGTCAAGTCTTCCTTAAGGTTCTTGGCCTTGGTTTTTCCATCCGCCCATGAAACGTAGAAACTTGCCTTTAAAGAGTTTCATACCAACGCGCCAAAACTGTTTAACATCTTCAGAATATCGCATTTGGTGGCTGTCAGTTTTGGAAAACCACTGAACTATGTCCAAGAACAACAGGTAAGCTACATTACTCATCGGGAGTTTTTTGTCACGAAGTAACTTGTTGAATTTTAAATATGCATGTTGATGCCCGTGTTCCTCTAATGTTTCCAAGACCATTGGGAGTATCTCTACAATTTCATTTAAAAGTCCTCTGTCTAAATCTTTGTCGGCCGGTATCGGAACTGTGACAGAAGCATCTGTTTGCCATCCTTTAGTGTCGGTATCTGTCAATTCTATTTCGACAATAGACATATTATCGAAACTGCTTAACAGATTACAAACATTGACGGAATCCTCATCTGTTTGTGGATAAATCTTTTTTGGTGTTGAAGACCATTTCGGTTTTTTGGGAGTTTGAAACGGCGAAGAAATGGCGGTTGCAGCACTTCTTGAAATTTTTATTTTTTCAGAATTTGGAATGGTTGTAATTGCTTTGTTTAAAAGTTTATAGGTTTTTGGAATGATGCGAAAATTTAGAATTTTAGTTGACATGCCTCTCGCAGCTCTCAATTTCAGTTCCAGGTCAGCGTGTGAAATTGTGCAGTGTTCTATTATCACTTCAAAGCTGTGAAAGATATCCTCACAGT